ATCGCACAGAGAAGTTGGGCGTGTGTGAGTTGAGGTTTTGATTTGCAATTGATTAGTATTGAACTATCAATTTAATTGACTGCGGGCTATTAATTTGCCTTGAGTTTTAGTCGTGTCGCCGACGGTCTTTTCCGCCTTCGCCGCAGAACTTTTCCAGCATGGCGGGGTGAGAATAAATTCCAAGACTGGGAGAAAAGAGGCACAATTGACATAATTAATTGCCCATGAAAAACATGGAGTAGAGCTGAGGCCTTGTGTGACGCTATATCAGTCTAGGAAGTGATACAGTTTCCAACAGGAAAATTAACACCTCAAATCGCACTGTGACTTCACCCCCAACGTCCTCGAGAGAGGATGCGTGATAAGAAATTCCCGCGGAAAGCCACAAAAACATCGTCACACGACGTTCCATTACTTTGTTGTGAAATTCTCAGCGTCATATGCTCGCGATAACGGCGTAAATCTAATATCTTCGAGAACCCGCGCGGAAAACCTTCGCTGTGTGTTTCCACCGAAAAAATAGCGACCCAATGACAGATTGCGAGCTTGTCACTTGACCTCGTGGCGTCCAAAGCCACTACGAAGAACAATCACACTCAGATTATCTCGATGGTGCCGATAAAAAGTCTTTTGGCGAACTTATCGCAGTGGAGAATTGCATTTCCCAACGCGGAAATAATTGCTCATGCTTAGACACTTTTTGATTAGACACGATGAATTCAATTAGAATAACACACAAACTAGCCTTGGAAGTGAATTTAAAATAATGACATCTTATCAAAATATTATAAGTTATCCAGTGAAAATCTTCTTCATCATTTTCAATCGTCTGTCCTTGTAGGTTTTTATCAGAAACCATGTATAAATATATTCTTCACGTGAAGCAAATGCCAATGATTTGTGTGGTAATTAAAATGACTTCTCTGCCCACACTGTGGAAAAAGAATACTACAAGAAGGTTTTCTCCAACTTCAGTTGGTGTCATGGAGTCAAGAATGTATGAAAAATCACTACAAGTGGGTGGATTTGTTGACAATTTCACTCACAATTTTGCAATCTACTTAAAACATCACTTTTGTACTAGAATTCCTCCAAATCCCAATACTTGTGATGGTTGCAGAGCTTTTGAATCAAGTTGACAGTCTCAAAGAGATACATTTTAGCAATTTCAGATCAACAGAAAGTGTTTAAAGCATAATCGCTGTCAAGATTTTGATGATCTCTGCAAGATCTGTGCTAAGCCGATGAGATTGCCTTTACTCTCCTACAAATTCAAATACGTAAGCGAAAAGCTTACCTCGTTTCTCTTTTTCAAATCCAAAGTGCACTCCCAGGTAAATCTCAAATGGGTAGATTGATTCCTTTCTTGTGAATAGCATTATAATGTAAAAACCCATTTCCAGGTCGATTCCGTTGATGATTGAATGCGCAACTCTGGCGAATAAATCCATTTGGGAGTCTGAGTGACGCCCACGCAAAAGAAAGCCAATATAGTGCATTTTGCGCTATTTGAAAATGTATTTTATAGCTTTCGATTAGGTCTAATGTCTTCTATGCAACAATCACGCGGCGACACGAGCGGGAGGCGGATTTTTGTAGGATTTTACCGAGTTTGCCCGCGAGCAGTCACAAGACACACCATTGTTATCCATCTACTCTCTCGCGTAGTCGCAGGCGTCTTTCGCGTCTGAGAGAGACGGAGCTTTTATGCGCCCATAATCGTGATTTAGCTTTTCGAGTCAATGTGTGTCTCTTCGCCCCTCTTTCTCCTACTATTACATATTTTCTCGATAGTTGTGTATTTTGCAAGTAAATGAAGCTAAAATTATAACTGTACTAAAGGTATGCCTCTCGCAAATGCACCGCGTCGTACTTGTGCAGTTGCTGTGAAGAGATTCGAGTGCTCTCGGGACACTCAGCAATTGTAATTCATTAAAAAAATGAGCTACAGAAACACCTTCAATTCGGCCTGTCGATGCTGACGCCTGGTGGTCAAACATTCTGATGCGAATGTACTGTATATTTATACTCCTCTCATTGCTTTTCACACCGTGGATGGCAGAAAAAAGCGCGCACATACACAGAGAATGTAAAATTAAAAGTTCATTGAGTCAATCATGGTGCTAAAAATATAATTTCTTTATTTTAACCCGCGAAGTACAGGCGGAAAAAATACACTTATTTGTTTTAAAGGCTCTCCGCACAAGTGAGGAATTCTCTGTGGTTTTGCTCTTTGGCCAGAGGCCACAACATCGCAGCTTTTGCCCAATAAATTCTCTCATTTTAATATCACCCAACTTGTGACGAGGCACTCGCCCAAGAACTGAAGATGCTAATGTCCGGAGAAATGTCTTAATTTTATTCACAACTTACGATTCTCTCGTTTGGTTCTTCATCTCCATTTCTCCCCATTTCGACCGAAATTCAAATAAAATCATCTCTGCCACGTTACTTTTTCATCTCCTTTTTTTTATGTTCGCATTCTTGGGTCATGTTCCTAGGAGTCCATTGTGATGCAATGCTAATGTTGTGCATGTGTGCTTAGCAATATCTCTCGCCCGGCAGAAGGTGGAGAGATTGCAGAAGGGGAAAAAAGTCTCGGGGGAAAAAATGGCAGAGAGATGAAAAGGGGAATTCAATACCCTGCAGCATGTTATGCGGATTTATGTTGGCTCGCGATTGTTCAATTTACAGTTAGCCGCATTGTAGAAATATAACAGCAAAAGAAAGCACGCGCGCGAGGAGTCGCGGACTATTGAGGATGTTCCTGAGGAATTCAGGAGTGCTGTTCCCGAATTTCGACGCGCCAAGCGGTCATCGGAGGTCAGTGGTAATCAATGTGAATTCTGGGCTGAACAACCCTCGGCGATGCCCGAATGCAAACCCATCATTTCACTGCCGAACACGCGACTCGAGGTGAAGAGCTGATGGGCAGATGGAGAAACAATAATTATTGTCAAAGACAAAAAAGCGCCCTGCAGACAAAATTGCCCGGAGAATTTTTGGCGAGAAATCAGGAGCATCTGCAGCCATCACAATCATCGACATGGTGGCAGCGAAAATTCAGCAAAATGTCCCTAGCAGCCCGATTTGATTGACTCTCGGAGTGATTTTTCACTCTCCCCACGCTTTTCCTCCGGTCATCAATCACTTGACACACTGTGGTGAGCACAAGAGCTTGTTGCCGAGCAAATGGTCGGAAATTCGAGGAGTTTTCGCAATGTTGCTGCAGCATTTGCAAGGAAATTAATTAGGTGTGAAAGTTGCGATAAGATGTGAGTGATAAGCGCGCATCGAGTGAAATTCACAGGCATAAATTCGGGGGCCTTTCCGCGAATGGACATCGACTGTTTGAGAATCACTGCGCTCCTCTTATAATGTACGCCAATGACCGAGTCCGGGTGAAAGACCTTCCTTGAACAGTGTTCGAATTGTTATGTTGTGTGCGATGGCGATTCTAAAATTGCACACGGTTGCTGTTATGAAATATATGTATAGGAGCCGAGAGCCCAGCGGAGCATACACACGTTGACTTGCTCGTTTTTTCCACCTTTTGTGTGTATTTGAGGCACATTCATGCATTTTATGTGCAGCATCATTACACGTAGTAAGAAGACGCGAAACTCGCGAGGGGATATACCAAAAGGAACAGTTGGAAACACGTCTTGCACGATGTTTGCAGATGATGACGCGCACGTTGGGCATATGGACACAGAGCGCGGAGAAAGGGCACCACCAGCCAGCAATATTTCCCTAGCCGGGCAGCACTGACATGATCCCGAGATGGGCGGGAAAAGTAACAATAAGAATAGCTGAAGAGGAGCGCAGAGATGCACACGGAGTCGCAGATGATATACTGTAGGAAAGCCATACGACTATCTCCTCACACTAAATCATAAGACACTCATACTTCAGTCCGCGCACGCCTCCTCGGCGCGATACCGAGCCACGATGCATCCCATCCGTGCAATGTCAAATTTCTGTATTAACACTGGGCGATGAACAACGGTAAATACCATCAAGGTAAACATCGCGAAGATCTTCTGGAGAGAGAGAGAGTGATCAGCGGAATGCTTTCCGCATTTGTATGGAATATTATTTTATCCCGCGGTTTTGTCATAATGCAAAGAAATTGTGCATTGCGCTTTCTGTTGACAGAATTGTCTGTCTAGATTGCTCCATTTCGTGAACTAGGAAGTGAAGGTTCTTCCTGGTGAGATTGAGGGAAATTGCCAAAAATCTGGTCACATGAAGACACCTTGTCGACAAATTGAAACATGCAGAAATTGCGCAGAGAATCATTCTTCAGAGTCTCGCACTATAAATCCAGTGCATAAATTGTGATGATCTTCAGTAAGTCATTTTTCATCTTGAAGTTCTCTGTTCAGCTCAAAACGAGGCTCCAAATCATTTAGAAACCGACCTCTTGGCATGAAAACAAGACACAAACAGCGCGCATTTGACAAAAAACCTTCCATCGGAATGAGGAATAACGACGCGAAATGGATGGACAAGATGAGGAATCGCGTCAGAGACGCACTTTCTACATTTAAACGCACACTGCAATATTGCATAAGGCTTGACGTTGACATCATAGCGAAATTGCCATCGATGGCGTCTTGGAGAAAGGTTCGCGAGTGATCTGCAAGTGCGCACATTGGCATTCAACTGGGTGCATCTGTGTTGGCTCACAGCGAAACCCATTGCCATGAATTGGTGATTGTAGAAGCGGGTTATGGTTCAATGAATTTGGTCTCGTATCGCGTCGTATCTTGTGATAAGTGATTAATTTAATGTGTGACCGCAATATATTGTCGTCACTCCCCATTCAGTCAGCATTGCGCGAGACACAACACCCAAAATCACAAATGAGAGATGAATATGACGCGAAATATTTCCTCTTTCAAGTACTGGAAAAATTCCCAGGTCAATGGCAATATTATGAATGGCGAGCTGAGACGTCATTATTATTGTAATAAAATGTGTCTGAGAGAACTCACCTTAGTCATCACGCAATTAATGATTCGAATGTAGAATCTGCAATGGAAAAAAATAGATTAAGTAAGTCAGATGAAAAACTGCCAAACAATTTATAACCATAATAGAAAATTAAGTCATTCATTAGTTTGGTGAATAAATTCAATTTGGATGGGAGAAAGTCCGTATAAAAGGCATTATTGCTGAAACACGACTGAATTTTCCTCAATACAAAACCATTAAATATTTCAGCTTTTTATGGTAGTTTGCCTCTTAGGAATCGATATAAAGTGCCCGAGAAGCTTTTATCTTTGCTGAGCTTTGCGTGCTGAAGAATTGAAAAGGCCCACAAAGCATAATCTATTGATTTTTTTACGGTTGTTGTTGTGTCACAAGAAAATGTGTGCATAAAGTTTTCGTCGCTCTCCGCAATTCATCTTGCACCTCGCTTCATATTGTAAACAGAGAAATGAAAAGGTGACGATAAATTTAATATTTACAGCAAAGTTCATTGTCGACAATTTACGTAAATAAATTTTATTTTATTCGAGAGAGAGAGAGCGGGAGAGAGGAATGAGAGAAAGAGAGACTTTTTCGAAAAGTTCAACCGAATAAATGTCCATACGTAATTGCTATTTTTATCATTCTGTCTCATTTTTCTCTTTCTCTCGTCTGTCTCGGTGGCTTTCTTGAGCCACTTCGTCGTCCCTACGGCGCTAGAGCCACAAATTCCTGCGCGATAAGTCGAGGCTGGCCATCAGGAGGGGCCAATGAATAATTCCCCGGGACTTGCGGGATTAGCATGATGCATTAGAAAACCATATGACTTCACGAGGCGAACGCGGCGGCCGCGGCGGGACAGTGAGAGTCACACGGAGTGAACAGCTGGGTGACTATTACGCTATTGATGTTGAGTCAGGTCGGTTGAGGTCGTTGGCTCTCTCCCAGTGCGAGCATAGAGTTGTGTTGTTGCGAGTGAAAGAGACACACCGCCACAGCGGCGAACTGCTCCGATTTTCCAACACACCAAATAATACAATCCAATGTCCGCGAATCACATAGAAAAGTTCATCACATGCCGCACTTTTTGGTCAGAAACATTTACAATTCTGTCGAATATTCGCCTCAGCGCCGCAATTTCAACATCAGAGGTCACTGATCGACAATTTGGCCGGCTATTTTGCCCCCGAAAAGCCGCTCAGAATATTCTGGGTGTATAGAGTGTATTTTTGGAGGCATATTTCCTCTATGACCACATTTGTCTGCCACTTCGTGAACTTTCAAAATTCAGAAAGTACATTTCTTGCACATGTTTAGGAGGAAAAGATATATTCAGTCAAGGTGAGCAGCAGTGACCATGTTTCTGGGTGTTCTTGTTCAAAATTGGGATCAAATTTTTGAGTTTATTCGTGTCTTCCTCAAATTTATAAATTTTTTCGCCGAATAAAAATTATCATACACTTTGAATTCGTTAAAAATTCTTATTTTTTTGTGAAGATAAACCGAGGAGAAACGACTCCACTGAATTATCCGTTCTCAAACTTTACAATAGCAATAGCTTTTTGCCAGTAAATGACTTCATTTCTTCGCCTCTTGTTTACTTTCAGGTCTATTTTTTCACACCCTCCCAAGCAAACTGACCAAAAAAAAGCAATGAATTTATATTAAAACTAATAAATTGTAAAAGGTGTAAATGTGATGAAGAAATAAAGATTATCATTTAATTGTTAGCCAGCAGAGCTTGCCGAAAGTGAGAGAGTGTTTAAGTGAATAAAAGGGGAGATTGAATTATCAGATCAATCTTCAATGCGATGGAGACGAAGAGACGCTCCAGCAAGACATCTGACAAGACATAAGGCGCACTAATCTCGGAGCGAATACATAATATAGTTTATTTATGAGTGGAAATTTGTGTAATTGTTCGATGGCAAGAGGTTTAAAGGTCAATTGGGGCCTCGAAATTTCACTTTTTCGCACTGTTTCGGGCCCGAGTGGATGGAAGGCGAGTGGCTCCTCCTCTGTGACTTTGGTCGGTTCATTGAGGTGCAGAAAGTCAATTCCATTTGGAGTCATTCACATCCAGAGAGAGAGAGAGAGAGAGGCCATCAAGGAGAGTGATTTTCGTTAATTTGTACCTCTTCGCCCCAAAATTTGACCGCTCTTGAACATCTCGCCGTGATCATAAGAGCAACTGAGGTCACACACAAGCTGGAAGGGAGCCTTGTCAAGAAACTGCCATGACCGATCGCGCACAGAGACCTCAATATTCGCCAAATTCCAGCCATTTTTTGCGCGCGTCATGCTGGTGTCACGCTGTCGACAAATGATTAGGAGAGATGTAGAAAAAAAAGCAAGAGAGTAATTCACAGAGGAAAGAGTGAAAATCTGCAATTTGACGGGGCGAAAAGACACATTGAAACAAATGGCTCGTGAGGTTAATTGTCGGGTGTCAAATCACGCACAATAGAAAGATAATTTTCCCACATAATTGCCAAGCTCCATCGAACGCGGAGAGCATTGAATGGAGACCACACACAAAAGGCCTTTTCAGTTCCACTTTAACGCATGTTCACGAAATTTTCATATACACTCCATACGATATTCCTACCAAAAATTATGGCTAATTATTCGACGAGAAAACGCAATTTTACCGTATCAACTGTGAACGCGTTTTTACACAACCATCAACACTTTTGTGGCCATACTTTCTGGCCGAAAAACTTTTGCTTAGTTAATTTCACTTTCACAGAAGTCGCCAGCAAAGCCGTTTTTACAGCCAGAGGAAAGAGACCAATCGGCGAGATCATCTAGCATTTCTTTCATTTTCATTTTTGCTGAAACCACGGCGTTTGGCCCACAATGGGGGAGACCTTGAAAGATCACGACATTCAATTTGTGATTTGACATTCAAAAAAGTGCGTGTGAGACACACCGAAAAAGTGGCTTCTCTCTTCTCCGTGAATCGCGCCCATTGTCTTTTGGCAGACCTTTTAAATGAAGAGCAGAGTTTCGTGAATTAGCCCAATTTGGGTCAAAGACAAGGTTATCACTCCCTTTTGGTTCCTCGCGATTGATTCAGCATTGCATTGGGTTCACTTTAGAATAATTTGAGAGCTTTGGGAACTGCGGAACATTCAAGATCAAATTGATCAAATCACATTGTGATACGGATAAGAATCTTCACTCCGCTGAGCAGGCATTAAAAATCAACATACAAAAGAGGGCAGCGACCATGTTGTTTCATTGAACGTCTTCGAGTGATTTTGCGCGAAAGAGGAGAAGAAAAAGGCAAGAGATCCATTAGACGTAATCTGCTAAAAGTAGCCAATTTTTTTTTCTTTATTCATTCAGATGAAAGTTATGGAATTTTGGAAGAATTATATTTTCGTGAAATCGAAATTATGATTTTCCCTCTCGTTCGCATTGGATTAATCCGTCTCTGATTTCAAAATGGAAAGTCTTTTGGGCCGCTGAATTTCTAATGCGCGTCCAATTTAAATACAAACGAAAAATATAATAAAATGCTCGTGTAACATGGAAAATCCTCTGCTGATTTCCCCGAAAAATTCACTTTTGTCTAAGAGAATGAACACTGATGAAAAATTCATCAAATGCGAAACACTGTGTGGTCTTTTAGATTTTCTCAGTGTTTTCGGGTGGCAAGAAATTCACGTTGCACTTTCACTTGCCAATCAATTTGGCAGCGTGATTTTCAACACATGAGAAAGTGTGCAAGAATTTTGCACAGAATCGCGCGGAATTGGAAATTCGCAAAAGTGTTCTCTTCTTCTTCTTCTTGAGCGCAGCGAGAGAAAACAATAACCTTTGGACTGATAATATAATGAATACAAAAATAATCTCGAGTAAATATTGAGCTTGAATGACTGATAAAATGTGAGCTTTATTGTTTGGTTTGTTTAATTTTAGAATTTGACTTGCTCTCCCGCATCCTCCGTTCCGCCCAATGTAACTCCCTCATTTCGCAATCTCGCCAGAGTGTCACCGACCCTGCTTAACTTATTTGTTTAATTTGCGATCTCTATGTCATCCACAATTATTGGCATTGATCTCTCTCTCGCGCTCTCCGATCTCGCGACACATCACTAGATCGCACTTTTCGGGCACACAAGCGTCTTTCTAGAGTCACGCACAGGGCATGACTGCTCAATGTGGTGCTGCAAGTGTCTTTTAGAGGAGAAAAATAGGCCTTTTTCGGGTAGACTTTGTGGGGTGAAAAATAAAACGTGTTTATCCTGAAGTTTTCTTTCAATTAAAATTACTTGTTCACGCAAAAAATTTCAGCAGAAATTATAACTTAAGGTGTTAGTACACAAAGTTTAATCTAGATTTTGTAGCACGCACATATCGTGGGTACAAACTCGGCTAGATGCGTTTTTGTGCAATTAGAAGATTCCCCACCAATTAAGCTCATCAGAGTTTCCATAGCTGAAGCATGCTCTCATGAAAAGACACTCATTTTCTCGCCTATTTCTTCCTCATGTGTGTGAATTAATTTCAAAAGAATACACGTGGATTTGTAATCTCAAACGAAAGGGGCAAAAAGAGACAGAAGATGCTTGAAATTTTTAGAAATCTTTCTCCATTAACTTTTGCTTTTCATTTTGCCTTCTGCACATTGCATTTCATGCCAGTGAACTTTTGTTTGAGAGACTTTTTTCTTCTCTTTTTGCCCCCCTTTGATATATACATACATATTACGGTTACATGATTGCAAGTTGATTATAAACTGTGCACACACACACACACACACACACAATTGCAAGAGAGTAAAATACCATTGCTCTGTTGCATTATGTCGTGTTCCTTCCTTCCGCATTTCGCCGAGGAAAATATCAACACAAATTACATCTAATTGCAATGCACTTCCACTCAATCACAAAACCGAGATAGCTTGCAATACACTCTCTCTTCGGCCATGTCGGGCGTTGAGCATAGAAAAAAAGCTCTCGCGATGCCATTATGTCCATGCTGCTGCACACAAGATTGCCTTTTCGCCCCTTTTTACGTAAGATTTCACTCTCGTGCAGCATCGCTCCATG